CAGGTTGTACTCCTCCGTAACATCAAGGGCCCCCAGAATTAGATGAGGTAGCAAGCCCCTTGGAGATGACTAAATTCCATCCTTTAAGAGAAGAGAGCATCCAGCAAATTGAGTCCTTCGATCACTGAAGCTCAAATTGGGGCCTGGAATAAACTACTAAGAGCAGAGAGATGGAATTAATTCTTTCCATCAGTGGTTACTGAAAAAAAAAAAATGAGGATAGTTCACACCCCATATGGTATTTTGGAAAGAGAGAACTTTTTGGGCTGGCTCAAACAGGTGTATGACAAAAGGGCGTCTTTTCTTTTTTTTTTTTTAAGAACTATTAGTACAGGCTCGGTGGCTCAGCCTGTAATCCCAGCATTTTGGGAGGCCGAGGCAAGTGGGTTTGAGACCAACTCGGCTAACTTGGTGAGACCTTGTTTCTATAAGAAATCAAAAATTAGCCGGGCGTGGTAGCGCGCACCTGTAGTTCCAGTTACTTGAAAGGCTGAGGTGGAAGGATCGCCGGAGCCCAGCAGGTCGAGGCTGCGGAGGCCGGGAGCGGCCACTGCACTCCAGTCTGGGTGACAGAGTGAGACTCCAACTCAAAAAAAAAAGCTATTGACACACATATCTGCTCAAATGATTTTTATTTCCACTTCCACTGGCACACTGAGCAAGTTTTCAGTCCACTATGAATAGAGAAAATGATCAAGTTCTATGAAGACTCGGAGCAAAGCTTCATGGCTGACTGTTGTAACTATAATATCCCACCCTGTGCCTGGCCAGGGCATGCCAGGATTATAACCTGTCCTCAGTAAATATTTCTTGAATGGTTAGATGGACGATAAATAGAAAGTGGATTTAGGCAGGAGAGAGATAGAACAGAGTTTTTATAATTTACCTAGATATGGAAACCAAAATTTTGTATATTTTTCAGAAAATATACCGAATAATAGTTTTATATTAAAAAGTGGCTGGGCTTGGTGGCTCATGCTTGTAATCCAAGTGGATTGGGAGGCTGAGGTAGGAGGATCATTTGAGGCCAGGAGTTTGAAACCAGCTTGGGCAACATAGCTAGACCTTGTCTCCTCAGAAATCCTCAGAAATAAAAAATAATAATAACTAACCGGGCATGGTGGCACACACCTTCATCCCAGTTACCTGGGAGGTTAAGGTGGGTGGACCACTTGAGCCCAGGAGTTGGAAGCTGCAGTGAGCTATGATTGCACCACGACACTCTAGCCTAGGTGATAGAGTGATACAGTGTCTCATAAAATAGAATAGAATAGAATAAAGTAGTGGCAAGCAGATTCTAAACACAATTGACAAGCTGGACATAAGTCGCTGTACCTGGACAATCCCCCGTCTGACCTCAGCCCCAAGGGTTCTTGAGGAATCCCAGGGTGTGTCTGTGGGAAGGCTGGCCAAAGATGGAAGTCACTGTGTCATGTACTCACGATACCAGAGACTCACCAAGTTCCTGAGGTCAGTCTAACACGAGAAGGATGCCAGGCTGAGAAGTCTCATTCCTACTCAGAGAAGATGGACAGGCTTTAAATGAAAAAATGTTTTAAAAATCCAAATATAAATAACCTTTTGGATAAGAAGCAGTAAAATTTCTACAAGGAAATACCATGCCTAACTCTCTCAAAGTGTTTTTTGGAGAGAATGCCATGGATACAACATGTTCTACCAGGAGGGCTTTATAAGCGTCAACTACGTCTGTGTCTTACTCTATGTTAATTAATTCGGAGTTTCTGGAGTGATACTTATGTTTAGCCATAGTGGAGAACTACCAAGTTAAATTTTTTTTTTTTTTTTGAGTTGGAGTCTCACTGTCACCCAGACTGGAGTGCAGTGGCTGCTCCCGGCCACCGCAGCCTCGACCTGCTGGGCTCCAGCGATCCTTCCGCCTCAGCCTTCCAAGTAGCTGGAGCTATAGGCGCGCGCTACCACGCCCGGCTGATTTTTTGATTTATTGTAGAGATGAGGTCTCGCCAAGTTGCCCAGGCGGGTCACGAACCCGTGGGCTCATGCAGGCCACTCACCTCGGCCTCCCAAAGCACAGGATTACAGGCTGAGCCACCGAGCCCGGCCCGAGTCAATTTCTTTTTAAACCAGTCCACATAGGGAACGTGCGCTAGAGAAGACAGAAACAAAGGTTATCAATGAATGACTGCATCTCAGGATGCATCTAGTACTGATAATGGGACCAACTTATCTAACAATTTTGTAAGGCACCTAGGGCATGGATCACAGTAAAGTAGTGAAGCTTCGCTAATTCAGAGGCTGAGCTCTGTTTTCCAGACTCTGCATTAGGTACTACAGGACAGCAGCAAAGGTGCATGATTCAGATCTATGCGTTAGGAGTTCACATGCTGGTGAGATAAGTGGCTCAAGCCTGTAATTCCAGCACTTTGGGAGATTGAAGTGAGAGGATTGCCTGAGCCCATGGGTTCCAGAACAGCCTGGGTAACTTAGTGAAACCTCATCTCTACAATTAAAAAAAAAAAAATAGCTGGGCATGGTAGCATGCCTGTAGTTCCAGCTACTTAGAAGGCTGAGACTGAAGGATCATTGGGATTCAGCAGGTTGACGCTGGGGTGACCGTGAATGTGGCACTGCATTCCAGACTGGGCGATGGAGTGAGACTCCACCTCAAAAGAAAAGAACAAAATGCCATCAGAGCACATGAAGTGATGGGAAGCTCTAGGTGCCATTAGTTTCTTGCAATAATAAAATGGTAAGTGAAGGGAGGGGGCAGGACAAACCCAAGAAACTCATGACATTGAAGATTAACTGGGTGACAGGTGAGACTGAGGATGTGAGTGAGATGATGCAATCAGGGAAAAGTAATCCACATTGAGTTAAAGACCAGGTGGGTTCTGTAGTGGACTTAGTCTTGTCCATCAAGTCCCTGGCCTCCCTGACCATTTGAGGGTTATTCTACCTGTGTATAATCTAGAAGAGAGTGCATGTTCCCCATTTTGTATTATAGAAGCCTAATGGACCAGACCTCTCTTGCCTGTCCCTTTGCAACCCTGGCAGGGCACATGGCCTAGGCCAGGCCATTGCATGTTCCCACTGTAATGAATGAAGCAGCGTTAAGGAGATGTTGAGACTTCCTCTGCAGGACAGCAGGGGTACAGGTAGCATCCTGATCAAGCCGGTCTGTGGAAGAATCTGGGTAGCCTCCAGGCCTGGGTCCTGCCAAGTCTAGTCTTTTAGCCCCCTGATGATTCTGTGAACCCCCAGTTCCCTAAAAATACATTCTTTTTTTTCCGAGTCAGAGTCTCATTGTCACCCAGGCTGAAGTGCAGTGGCACGCTCACGGCCACTGCAGCCTTGACCTGCTGGGCTCAGGTGATCCTTCTGCCTTAACTTTCCAAGTAGCTGGAACTACAGGTGCATACCACCACACCCGGCTGATTTTATTTATGTATTTATTGTAGAGATGAGGTCTCACCAAGTTGCCCAAGCTGGTCTCGAATCCCTGGGGTCAGGTAATCCTCTTGCTTCTGCTTCCCAAAGTGCTGGGATTACAGGCATGATCCACCGTGCCCAGCGCCAGTATATTTAAAAAAAAAAAAAAAAAAGATTTTTCCAATCAAGAATCCTGACTGATGTGGGATTCATCAGTCAGTCAGATTATTCCAGTGATAATTTATGAGCCAGGGAAGAGACTTGTGTTTGAAATCAGCCTCTGGTGGCTTGATGACATGGATCCGATGCATTGCTGAAGCAAAGAAGTAAAAAATGAGGTGAAGAGTGTAAAATGATAAAGCCAAAAATTACCTCTAGCCTATCTGTAATCGTTAGACAGATGGGCACTTGGAGTGCACAGTTCTGGCCACCGTGCCTAAAGTTAAGTGGAATGGAGAGAAAAGACCTCATGTAACCGAGAAAACAGAGATTTCCCTGTGGGTGCAGATGAGGTCTGACTCAGGAGGGTGAGGTGGATTCTTGAGTGACCGCTTGGGACACAGCTGCTTGGCAGACAGCACTGACCTTTCACAAGGTGACACCGAGGAGAACAGCTACGCCTTCTCTTATTCTATCTATTGGTGCCTTGTGGGCCATGCAGGACACAGGTCTCATTCATTCATTTGGCATTTATATTTCTGTGTTGGGCACCAAGAATTCTAGGGCGAACAAGATGGGAGACATGCCTGTGCGAAGCCTCCAGATTAGCGGAGGAGACAGCGTGATAGGGACTATCCTAACATCACATTGAGTTGCTACAGAGCACTGTAGTCAGGGGTGTTGGGGAGGGCTTCATGAAAAAGGTGAGGCTTGTACTGAGTCTTAAGGCCATTTTGGAGTTTAACAGACAATGAGTAGATTAGGGAGTGTGACAGGTACCCAGGTGGTGGTCTGCGATTAGGAGTTCCACCAGGCAGAGAAATAAATCATGTTGGTCAAAGACTCTTGGTGTTCAGGGTGTGGGCCTAACGAGGCCACAGACCATGAAGGGCCTTGTATGTCAGGGAAGTGGGGAGCCTTTGATATGCTTGCAGTTGGGGGCATTGTGATCAGATTTGAGTTTAGAGAGGTCACTCTGGCAGAGGCTTAGGGGACAATTCAGAGAGGGTAGAGCTTAGAGGCAAGAGGTCAATTAGTATTGCAATTGGCCAGTGGCTCTCAAAGTGTGGTCCCCAGACCATCATCTGGGTACCTGTTGGAAATCCAAATTCTTAGGCCCTGCCCCAAACCCACTGAACTAGAAATTCTGAGGATGGGGCCCGGAAATCTGTGTTTTAATCAGCCCTGTAGGTGAGTCTGGCACATACTCAATTTGAGGATTTACTGTGTGGTCCCTATGAGATGTGATGGTGAATTCAACTGAAATCGTGGAATGAAGTGGGGCGAGGCTGGGGATGTGGGAACTATATCCCAGAGACTGAATCTCCAGGACTCAGTGTATGACCAGGTGGGTGCAAGTGGGTGGTGCTGGGGGAGTAGAAAGAACTAGGAGCAGGTCTGGCATTGGATAATAAGTTGCTTTTCTCACATAGGTATCCCTCGTGGGTTTCTTGTTCCTTTTGGGCTTATACATTTCATCCCTGGCCTCCTGTATGGGAGGACTTTACGGAGCCCCCCGGATCCTGCAGTGCATTGCCCAGGAGAAAGTGATCCCTGCACTTGCCTGTCTTGGGCAAGGGGTGAGTGACCCCCACCTTTTATTGAGAAACGTATTGTTGCTAACCTGATTATTGGCCCTTAAGTTGCTTACGTTTTTCTGATTAGAGCCTTTGGCCCATTTCTCTGGGATGGGACAAACAAGAAAAGACAAGGTCATTTCTTTTTTTTTTTTTTTTTTTGAGTTGGATTCTCACTCAGTCACCCAGACTGGAGTGCAGTGGCCGCTACCGGCCACCGCAGCCTTGACCTGCTGGGCTCCGGCGATCCTTCCGCCTCAGCCTTCCGAGTAGCCGGAATTACAGGCATGCACTACCACGCCCAGCTGATTTTTTGATTTATTGTAGAGATGAGGTCTCGCTGCCCAGGCGGGTCTCGAACCCGCAGGCCAGGCAATCCACTCACCTCAGCCTCCCAAAGGCGCGGGATTACAGGCTGAGCCACCGAGCCTGGCTGGCAAGGTCATTTCTTTAGGTCTGTCCTCTGGCAGGCTTAGGTTGGGACCAAAGATGAAAATGTCACAGCTTGGCCAAGTGCGGTGACTCAGCCTGTAATCCCAGCACTTTGGGAGGTCAAGAAGAGAGGATTGCCTGAGCCCAGGGGTTCGAGACCAGCCAGGGAAACTTAGTGAGACCTCATCTGTACAATAAATCACAAAAACTAGTGGTGGTGTGCATCTGTAGTTCCAATGACTTGGAAGGCTGAGGCAGAAGGATCACCTAAGCCCAGCAGGTCAAGACTGCAGTGGCCGTGAGCATGCCACTGCACTCCAGTCTGGGCAACAAGAGTGAGACTCCAACTCAAAAAAAAAAGGAAATGTCACAGCGACCCAGCCCTTTAGCACTGGTCTAGTTAGCCAGTCATAGTAGCATCTAGAACCCTGAGTAATAGAAAAATGCAGTGTCCTGCATTTTATTTTGGTTTTTTTTTTTTTTGAGTTGGAGTCTCACTCTGTCCCCCAGGCTGGAGTGCAGTGGCCGCTCCTGGCCACGTAGCCTCGACCTGCTGGGCTCCGGCGATCCTTCCACCTCAGCCTTCCAAGTAGCTGAAACAATAGGCGCGTGCTACCACGCCCGGCTGATTTTTTATTTATTGTAGAGATGAGGGCTCACCAAGTTGCCCAGGCGGGTCTCGAACCCGTGGGCTCAGGCAATCCACTCACCTCAGCCTCCCAAAGTGCGGGATTACAGGCTGAGCCACCGAGCCTGGCTTGTGTCCTGTATTTTAATAAAAATGAATTTGGGATCCTCCAGGCTTAGTGTAGAAGAAATAATATCCTGGTTAGGAGGGGAGCAGGTCCTTGCAACTCTAACTCTGCCTTAGAGGCTCACCTTCCCCTCAGAGTTGCTGTTTGATGGTGTCCCACACCTCTGGCCTCTGGGATCCTTGCTAACCATCATAAACCAAACCTTAGCTGATATATCAGTATAGCTTGGTTATGTCATGGCTTGAGTGATCAAAAGAGGCCATCCTAAAACCTAGAGGATGATAAAAGAAAAGTAAACACAGAGAATTCCACCTCCAGGTCATGTGGTTTGCAAGCTCATTTTTATCGTGTTGGGATACCACAAAGGTCGTTCACACCCCCTTCCAATTTCCAGCCTCCCTCTGGTTTAGGGCACATGTGATTGTGAATCATCCTTAATTTCTCCCTTTACCTTCCTTTGCTTCTCATCCTCAGTCAGTGTGGGCTGAATAGGAGCAGTGACAATCTCTAGTATATTCTATGTAACATGTGACTTTTATTTTTCTTCCATTTCCTTTATTTTTTCTATTAAGTAATATATGCACAGGTAAAAACCGAAAAGGCTGGTGTACACTGAGAATTTTTGCTCCTGTCATGAATCTTTCTACCTTTTTTCCCACCCCAACAGCATTTGTTTTTTGTTTTTTGGTTTTTTTTTGAGTTGGAGTCTCATGTCGCCCGGCCACTGCAGCCTCGACCTGCTGGGCTCCGGCGATCCTTCCGCCTCAGCCTTCTG